CATCAGTTTCCCCTGACACTGTATTACTCTGCATTAAGAGCCACAATTTCTTTTGCATCCTTCTGGAATCAGTCAGGTTAAGTTTTGTTGTAGTACAAAACAATTATGAAAGCTTTGTTTGAAATGGTGAAACTTTAAGTACCTCTTACTCATATTACCCCAAAGTAACAGAGGCTGATGGAAAATTCATAAGCTTTAGTGTTGTTTGTCCCTGTGTTAGAGAATGTAGAGTTTTGGCAAGTCTCTCAGCAATAATTAAATTTTCAACTCATAAATGAAGCTCTTTTGAACCACAACCAATTAGTTGGCTCCCTTACCAACAGGGGACAAGCAAGTACACCCTGTCAAAAGATTACCAGGCATAAGCTGGTCAACATTCTCCTAAAACTATTTTTTGCTCTTGAACACATCTCTCCACTGAGCTCCAGTTCTGGTTCAATCACCATGACTGGCCTCCTGTAATTCTTAGTGAGAGAAGTAGACTAGCCACCTGCCAAATGTTCTGCTCAGATACACAGAGTATAAATGGGAGTATAGAGTAATGCCATGGGATGGGGACAGAGAAGAGTTTGTATGGATAATGTGATATATTAGCCTTAAAGAATGAACAGTACTTAAATCAGTGGTTCTTAATCTTCCTAATGCTGTGACCCTTTATTACAGTTCCTCATATTGTTGTGACACCCAACCACAAAATTTTTGTTACTACTTCATAACTGTAATTGTTTGCTTCTGTTATGAATAGTAATGTAAATATTTTTGGAGTTAGAGGTTTTACAAAGGGGTTGTGACTCAGATGGATAGGACAGAGTGACTTTACAAATTATTTGTCATGAGTAGAGTCTTCTTCACCATGGGAGGATATTGAAAACTAATCTTACTATAAACAAAGAAATATTCTGTCTCACCATGTGGACAGAATTATTTGAAAAGCAACAGTTAACACTGAGCCCCGGAAGAAAACCTAAAGGAACTCCTCTACTTTATAAATTAAGGAAAAGACTCATGAGCCAAGAGGCAGGAGGAAGGTAGAGGAAAGAGTTCAGGGGTGGGTGGTGTACACTTCAGGACATACTGCCTTTTTCCAGACTTGGCTTCAAATACCCTACTCCTTAAAGGGAAGAGGATCTGGCAGGGATGACTGGAAATTCTATGTTAGTCTAAGTTTTCCTATGATAGTCCAATTTTAAACTACTCCCCTTTCCCACTTGAGGACACATCCCTTTGGGGTGGGGATGTTGAGTCACTCTGTGCCCACCCCTTACCTGTGTCAGTCTTCCGTTTTGAAATCCCTACTTGTTTCTTGACTTGTTTTTTCTTGGTGATTAACTTTTTCTTTTATTATTTGAAGAGGTTAGACAAGAATCATCCCACTTGACCTTTATAGGTTCCACTCCTGGTATTCTCTTGCTCACACTTGGATGCATGCCTTCATAAAGCCTCTCCCTGGGATGGCTTGTTCTGTGGTTGCTAATAGTCTCAACTTTTGTCCCATTTTATACTGATTAATATAATATGACATAGTGTGAAATCTGTAGGATTTGGGATCAGACAGAGAAGTTAAACCTTGGTTTTAACACCTCTAGTCATGTGATCATAGGCCAATTACTTCTTATGCAATTGGGGCTTTATTTTTGCATCTGCAAAATGAGGTCAGAAATGGAAAGTCACTATAAGCAGTTGCAATGGTATAGGAGAAGATAGTATATTGAAAATTATTTATTGCTATATCATTTGTGACTGATCACCAAGCTACATAAACACTTAGTGGTTTCAAAACTAAACAACTTCTCATTGCCCAAAAGTCTTCGGGTTTTAAGGAAAGTTCTGATCTTTCCAGGCTTGAATGATCTCAGCTGGGCTCATCCAAGTGTTTGTTGTCTGCTAGTGGGTCAGCTGGGACTGGCTCATCCTGAATGAGCTCACTCTTTGTTTGGCAATTGGCCATGTGTCATCTATCACTAGCCTAGATTCGTCCTCATGGGTAAGTAAGGCTCTAAAAGAGAAAGAAAAAGCATTCATGATCTTTTATAGCTACATACATACAAGGTAACTTCTACTATACTATATTGGCAAAGTAGGTTCTGCAGATAACCCAGATTCATGAGTTAGAGAGACAGGCTCTGTCCTTTGATGGTCAAAGCTCTTGAGTAGTATACAAGGGATATGGACAAAATGATGAAGAAACATTGAAGACATTTGGGCAAGTAGTCTGTCATAGTTCTACTTTTTTATTTCCCATTTCTCTTCTGTTCTGCTGCAGAATTAGGCTCACCATGAGCTACTGTTTTGCAAGACTTTTTTCTTTCACAATTTCATACATATAAATAATGTTCTTTAATCAAAGTATTTTTCATTTTCCTGTCTAATCCTCTTCTGCCTCTCACCAAATCACATCTTTTTTCCCAAGTCCACCACTAACTTTCACATTTTGTATATATGTATTTGTATGACTTACAGCATTTAACTGGGGCTGCCTATATGAGTATAGATAGAAGGTTATTTACCAAGCAAGGGCATTACACAATAGGTATATCAATGACTGTGACTCCCTCTCTCTTAGCAATCATTAACTGCCTATAGATCCTCAGGGACAGAGGGCCCATATGAACCCCTCCTCCATTCATGACAGAAAGTTGATTGGCCCAGTCTTATTCAGGTCTTGTGCTGTTAGTCAGTTCTTCTGTGATTCACAGTTGCACAGCTATGTCATGTCAGATGACAGCATTCTACAGCCGGAACTCTTTCCCATCCTTAAGTTCTTACATTCTTTCTCTCCCTTTTTCTGAGATATCCTCTGAGCATTGGAGGGGGTGAGTGAACTTTTTTAAGGAAGACATTATATTTTATACAGTTCAATACTTCACATTTCCTGAGCATCCAGTGGTACCATTACTATCATCGCTAGCATTCTCCAGATGATGAATATATTTCAAGATTTGCTTCAATTTATAAAATTATAAATACTTCATCACTATACCTATTCTTATAGTTCCCACTCACGACTTACTTCTGAGTCTCATGGACTTAGTAGGTATCCAGTAAAATACCTATTACATGAATCTACTTCTCTGACTCAGGCTATTTTGTAAGTTTAGCACCTGTTTAGTGATTTGGGGAGATGGAGCCAGTGGCGAAATGATGAGTCAGTCATTCTCATCTTTGACTTCTTCCCAAATCCATTTCTATTCCTCACCTGTCTCACCTCCAGTTCACCCTACAGACTTGTTATTGTGGATTGAATTGAACCTCCCACAAACTCTTGTAATACTTCTCATGGCCCACAGTGCTCATATTACTCATCTTGCTCACCCACATAAACTCCTACTTCCCAATATTCATGTCTGTGCCTATAATCTTTCCAGCACATTGCCAGTGTGAGTTTATCACAGTTATTTTTCAGAAAAAAAAAGAGATATCCTGAACCCTTATCTTAGTCATAAACAGCAATGATAACAGCATTGTCTTCCTATTGCCAAGTGCGTGCTCTGATATTTCACATACTTTCTGGAACATGGTGCTAGATATGGAAGTCAGCTCTCTGTTATTAGGCATCAAAATCTAGATATAGAGAAATTTAGTGGCTTTGCCAAGATTACATAAGAAAGTGATGCTGCCAATGAGAAGAAAACCCAGCTTTAGTGATTTGTAGGCCTCCCCTGGTTCTACTCTTATATCAGTCACTGTAATATTTTCTTAAGTTTCCCTACTTTCTCTAGCTTTTCAGTTGGCTGTGTAGCAGTGTTCACTCAGCATAACCAAGGTATTACTAATGGATGTCTTCTGTGTACTATATACAAAATTCCAAGATGTACATTGCAATGTCTATCAATGTAAGAAGAAGCCTCAATGGGCGGTATATGAAACTGCTTTGTTTTTAGGCAATCTTAGTTTCTAATTAAGTCACCATTCCTTCCTTATTTTGAGCTCTTAGGTAAATTGCCCAATATATTTGATCTTCAATTTCTTCATTCTTCAGAAGTAGGAATTAAGCTTCACACCACAGTTTTATTAGGAAGATTAAATGAGATGATAATGCAAATGAATCTCTGACACATTGGAGCCCTTCTAGAGTCTATTATTATTGTTGTTGTTAATAAATATAAATGAGGTAAGAATGAGTCATGACAGTCAGTTGCTCAACCCTCTCCTGTCCAATCTTCATCATATTTATGTTCCTATTATTCATTTCATGATTGTTTGCCAAAGATATATTTTTTTCATTATATGCCAAGTTCCAGGATCACCCTTTTAGCCCAGAGGAGTATATTGAAACAAAAGTGACATGTTCATTCCATTAACTATCTTTTACCTTCCCATGCAAAAGTTAATATAAGTTCCAGGGAATGATAACTAAGGAAAATATTCAGATTCAAAACAAAAAAAATCTAGGGAGATATAATCTGAAACTCTTGATCTTTGGACCTTTATAGAAAAAGAGTTTTAAGTAATAACCACAGAAACCACAACTAGGCTAAGAATAGTCTGTTTAAGCCTTTTGCAATCTAAAATTCTTTAAGGTCCATTTTAGACATGATGTGAAAAAAAGAACCACTTCATTTTTTTTTTTTTTTTTAGTTTTCCATTTTTATTTTAAGGGATCACCTACATTTTAGTAAATTTAAAAGATATGTCCCCATTGATCAGATTTATTGCCCATTGAATTTGATGACAATTTTTAGGTTCAATTCTTAATAAAATAATTTATATTAGTATTTGGGATTGTTGGTGAGCTTTCTCATGGAGAAAAAGAAACCCAGACAGCAGTGGGAGCTGCAACATAGTTTTCTTCTGCTGATCCTTGGGCATTTCTGTTAGGAGGACTGAGTGATATCAACAGGGGTGGCTATACTGTGGCCAGGCTTTTTTTTTTTCTTTTGAGACATAGTCTTACTACACAGCCCTGGTTGGCATAGAATTCACTATGTCGACCAGCCTCTGCCTCCCAAGACCTGGAATTAAAGATGTACACCAACTTGCCAGGCTAGCTAGTCTCTAATTCAAGAGTTAAGATCTTTGACCCACTGCTCCATCCATTTTGAGATTTGGTTGATGTTATCCTCCAGCTGTTCCTGTTCATTACTGGGCAGCTGATGCACAATTTCTTCTCTATAAGAGGCTCTGGCTTCTTCATAAAGAACTTGAAAAATCTCACACTGCGTGTTGTCTTGTAGCGTCTTCTCATCGTAACCCCTTGTTTCAAGTCTTTTGTGCTGTATGCTGTTATCTGTTCTCAACACAAAAGCTGTATGAAACCGGCGTTCCGGAAAGAAATCACAGCCATGGTAATCAACAATAACACCACCTTCTCTCATCTGATTCTCTAACTCATCAACGACCCTATCTTCATCTGAAATTGGACAACTGTATTCATCATCGTAGCCATCATAACCGGCTCCTCCCTGGAGAGCTCTGCTTAAGGCGTGTGAAGCCGAGGCGCTGGCCGCCTGGTGAGGGATGACTAGGAAGCTTCCAAACATCCTGCTCACCAGTATACCTGGGGTTGGAAAAACCACACTAGGCAAAGAACTTGCCTCAAAATCAGGACTGAAATACATTAATGTCGGGGATTTAGCTCAAGAAGAACCACTTCATTTTTGACCTTGAAAGTCACAAGAGTTAAAGACAAATTTTAAAAAATTATAAGTGGCAAGACTTTCCTCTTTAGATTCTGATGTTGAACAAAAGAGAGGGAGAAAGATTGAGAGAGAGATGGTGTGTGAGAGAGAGACTGAGGATGCAGCTCAATTTTGATAGTTATGTACTAGTATCTCAATAGATTATGAGTTGATATATATGTGACTATATACATGTACTCATTGTAAATTACCATGTATCTATACAATTTATTTTGTGCTTCTTTGCTTATACATGTTGGAAATTCTCAATGCCCATATGAATTAAATTATATTCTAGCTAATTCATAAAATTGTAGGAAAAAAATTGAAATCATAGAAGTGGAGTAACATGTCCAACTTTTCAGGGAGAATTGGGATTTGTGTACCCTCTGTCACCAGTATTTTCCCATCCTACCCCAAGGACTGTACTAGAATGAGATAAACTGAGACCAAAGCTGGTCTGATCCAGGAAATTCCTTACTAGGCTACACAGGGACTCCCATAAAGTATAACTTTCCTTTCAGGATGGTAGAGTTGGAAAGTACTGAATGAACCCACAGAAGGCAGACTAATCTATGAAGGATAAAGAAAGGAACTAGATAATTCAGCCAACATTAGTGGGAATTTCCAGTACACATTGGTGCTTCTAAACTAGACAGACACCTATTGAGCTAAACCTCTTCCTGCCTATTCTGTCTGGGCAGTGGTGGTACAAATGATAATTCTTTATTTTAAAAGGGGGGGGGGTTCCTTTGATTGGGACAAAGGCTGCCTTCTGGAAAACTGGATGTCAGTTCTGGGAGTGATTCCCATGGTGTATGGGATCCTGGATAAGGCACTAAGAAACTCAAGAGCCTCTCCTTTTGGATGCATTCCTCACTGTAGAGCATCAGAGATGTATTATATGTAGTTTTCTGACCTATGTACAGATAGTTCACATCTGTTATGTCTCTGTAATTCTGGATGTCTCTTCCTACCTGCAAAACAAAGGGGCTGGAATTCTGTCTTTGTGCATCCTTTCTGTTTCAAAAATATGCATTTATTGGTCTCTTGGCAAACAGCTCTTGTTAGAATTCATTGCAGCAAAACAGTCCAGTATAACCAACCTTAGAGGGACTAACTAAACTCAGCCCACTTTCTTCATCCATTAAATAGGCATAGAAAGGTGACTCTTATCCCATGGACAGTAGCAAAGTTTGATTCAGCCCTTATACATCAATTCCCTGTTCACATGTTGAATTCGTAGCCCTCAAAGAGTATCATTACGTGTATTGTTTTAGTATGTTTATTCTTTTTCTGCTGCCCCATGAGCCTCTGGGATCAAAACAAAATGTAAAGTGATATGACATCCCTGTGGAACTCTTAAGCTTCCAAGAAAAATGGATTCTTCACATCCTCTCAGCTACCAATTAGCTACATTTCTGAGGAAATGAACTACTCAGAAGAAAGAGCAGCATTTAATTTCAAACATAAGAAAAGAGAAGGAAGTAAGATTAGTCACAGCCTTAAAATGTTCAAACACCATTGGTATTATTAGCTCAACAGCCAGGTATCCAAGGGTTCCCCAGCTTGTTAGCATAATGGATGACTGTTGACAAGCTCCTCACCAGAGTTCTCACCTGCAGGTGTATAACCACAACAACAGCCAGGACTTCCTTTAGACATGTTCTTCTCATGACTGAACTGAAGGGCTTTTGTTTTGGGGATATAACAGCTGCTTAATATAGCAAGGCTGGTGTTTGGCTGCTCTTATGTCCCTGCTATGAGACTACCCAAGAAAACTCAAAGCCCTTCCCTAAAATGCTGGATCGTGAAGTTCAATCAGTTGGAACAGAGTCCAGTCTGCTTGGACCTGATCTTTCCTCTTATTTCCATTATCTTAACCCAAGCAGTCTCAGTTCTCACTTGTCATTTGTCTTTTGGTTCAAGAGCAGAAATAAGCAATAGTGAACTGGGACTGAGTCTCTCCCATTTTCATTTGGTTACAAAGAACTTTATCCTTTTGAAAAGCCAAGTAATAGAAAAAAAATAATATGTACATGAAAATACTACTTGAGGAATCAGGGACTCCACTTTTTAGAAGGGCACAGCCTAACAACAGTGGTTCTTAATGATGTGATGTTTACTCCACCATGCTTTTTATCATATCTACAATCATAATTAGATAGAAAAGATGCTTGATAGAACCTGTTGCATAGAAGTCAATTCTTTTGGGATAAGTATCAAAATGAGCTTCTGAGATAAGAAAATAGAAGCCTCTGGTGTGCCCCAAAAGGAATTAGTTTAGTACTTAAGGAGGAAGAAGAGGAGGAGGGAGAGGAAGAAAAGGAAGAGGGAAAACATGATATTTGGTACCCCTGAGAGCAAATTCTCACACTTGTTTTGATCCCATCACCAAATGCTCAATAGTAAATCCACAGATTTTCAGCCATGTCAATAAACCTTTTCTTTAAAAAAAAAAAAAAAAAGGTACTAATTGATTCCTAGAGACAAAAGTAAAAGGACAGAGTGCTTCATGTGAGGATTTTCAGCTTCCCATGCCACTAAACCATAAACAAAAACGTAGACAGAGGAAATACAGAAAGAACAGACCCCAGAAACTTATCGAAATCACAGAGAGGGTATTGAAATTGTAAGGCCTGGAATTAACTTTGGGACACCAAAAGTTATATATATGAACACTTAGAGAAAGAAAAAGAGAGAGGTAATGTGGTAGTTTAAATGAAAATGGCCATAATGTGCTCATGCATTTGAATAATTGGTCCTTGGCTGGTAGATCTCTTTGGGAAGAATAGGGAAGTGTGATGTTTTGGAGGAGGTATGTCACTAGGGGTGGGCTTTGAGGTTTCAGAAGTCCACACCTTTCCCAGTGTGCTCTCTCTTAGCATCTTACTTGTGGATAAAGATGTAGATGCTCAACTGCTGCTTTAGCATCATTTCTGCCCACCTGCTGTCATGTTCTTCACCATGATTGTTGTAGATCCCAACCCTCTGGAACTGTAAGACACAATAATATGCATTTGCTCATAAGTTGCCTTGGTTATGACAATAGAAAAGTAACTAAGACAAACAGGCAGGCAGATAGGCAGACAGACAGACAGATACCCACACATGACCTCACATATACAATTTCTTCAATATACATGAAATATGCATATATATGTACATCTATGGGTGTGTGTGCCTTTATGAGAATGCATATCATATGTGCACACAAACATGCAAAAATATTTGCTATCATTTGTAACTTGCTTTTTTTCCCTCAACAATGAATCATGATATCAATTCATACTGCTTCCAAGTCACTTATTTTCCAGCTTAAGCCCAGAAGTATGTTATAGTCATGGGATATAACCATGGATATTATTTTCATGTCAACACCAATATACCTATATCATTCTTTTTAATAATTATTTTGAATTCTGTAGTAGAAAGTTTTGCTTTGTTTTGTTTTGTTTTGTTTAAAAGTCCACATGGAGCCGGGTGGTGGTGGCACACACCTTTAATCCCAGCACTTCGGAGGCAGAGCCAGGTAGATCTCTGTGAGTTCAAGGCCACCCTGGTCTACAGAGCAAAATCCAGGACAGGCACCAAAACTACACAGAGAAAATCTGTCTCGAAAAAACCCAAATAAATAAATAAATAAATTCACACAGATAGCCCTAGGAATGGGAAATTGATGAGATCTCCATGAGTAAACGGGGTGGGGGGAGTAGAGGGTCGAGGATGGGAGATGAGAACATAAGGGAACAGGATGTTTGAGCTGGAACAGGAACAGAGTGGGAGAGCAATGAAAGAGACACTTTAGGAGAGGGAGACATCATGGGAATAGGGAGAAACCTGGTGGTAGGGAAGTTCCCAGGAATCCACAAAGATGACCCCAGCTTAGACTACTAGCAATAGTGGAGAGGGTGTCTGAGCTGGCTTACCCCAGTAATCAGATTGGTGAATACCCTAAATCATAGAGCCTTCATCCAGTAACTGATGGAAGCAGATGCAGAGATCTACAGCCAAGAACCAGGCCAAGCTCCAGGAGTCCAGCTGAAGAGAGGAAGAGGGATTCTACAAGCAAGGGGCATCAAGATCATGATGAGGAAACATACAGAGACAACTGAACCAAACTAGTGGGAACTCATGAACTTTAGATTGACAGCTGTGGAACCTTCATGGGACTGAACTAGGCCCTCTGCATAAGTGAGACAGCTGTGTAGCTTGGTCTGCATTAGGGGCCCCCTGGCAGTAGAATCAGGATCCATCCTTGGTGCATGAGCTGGCTTTTTGGAGCCCATTATGTATGGTGGGATACCTGGCAAAGCCTTGGTGCAGTGAGGAGGGGCTTGGATCTGCCTCAACTGATTGTACCAGGCTCTGCTGACTCCCCATGGGAGGCCTTACCTTTTCAGAAGAGGGAATGGAGGATGGGTTGAAAGGGAAGGCTGGCAGAGGCGGGAGGAGGGAAGAGAGGGGGAATCTGTGGTTGGTATGTAAAATGAATAAAAAAAATCTTAATAAAGAAAAAAATCCCAGGTAAAAGACATTAAGTGGCACTTTTTAGTCCTTTGATGTTATACAAAATGCTATAGTTGGCTTATGTACTTGTACATATGTGCAAATATTTTTGAATGCAGCTTTCTTAGAATGGATTGAAGGAATCAGAATGCATTCTTGTTTCAACATTAAGTTGATATTACCAAATTCATCTCCTTAAAGATAATGCTGTAAAGCTTTTATTAAATTAAATCTCACATAACTCTAACTCTAAAAGTGGAACTTCTTTCAGATCTTGTCCAGAATGACAGTGAGCACATTCGTCACATACCTGTTCAATATATGCGGTGCTGTACTGCTTGCCCTCAGATCTG